TGGGTGGGTGGGTGGGTGGTTGGCCAGTGCACGGGACACAGCACCCATTAAGCACTTTTTTCGAGTCGGGGTCTCCCTCCTGCTCAAGTTGGAGTGAGATGGTGGGGTTATAACTCGCCGCCGCCTTAGCCTCCCGGGCTCAGGCAATCCTTCCGCCTCAGCCTCCCGAGTAGCTGGGACCACAGACACATGCCATCACACCCGGTTAATGTTTTGATTTTGTTTGTTTGTTTTGTTTTTGTTTTTTTTTGAGTTGGGGTCTCACTCCGTCACCCAGACTGGAGTGCAGTGGCTGCTCCCGGCCGCCGCAGCCTCGACCTGCTGGGCTCCGGCAATCCTTCCGTCTCCACCTTCCGAGTAGCTGGGACTACAGACGTGCTACCACGCCCGGCTAATTTTTGATTTGTTGTAGAGATGAGGTCTCGCCAAGTTGCCCAGGCAGGTCTCGAACCCGCGGGCTCAGGCCATCCCCTCACCTCAGCCTCCCAAGGCACGGTATTACAGGCTGAGCCACCGAACCCGGCTTGATTTTTTTTTTTTTTATAGAGACAGGTTTTGCTATGTTGCCCAGGTCTTTCTTGAACTCTTGGGCTCCAGCACTCCTCCTGCTTTGGCCTCCCAAGGTGCTGGGATTACAGGGGTGAGCCACTGCACCTGGGCCTGTTAAGCGTTTTGAAGCCCCCCACCCCCACCAAGCCAGGCACAGCTGGAACATTTAGGCCCGTAGCCGCCAAGGGCCTGGCACTGAGTAGGCATGTCATCTGTCTTTCAGTCAGTGACCATTCCTGAGCACTTAGTATGTGCAGACACAGCTCTAGACACAGAAAGCCAGCTATAAGCGCCCCGTCCTCCCAGGCCACAGGCTGGGTAGAAAGATGGCGGGCAGGTACACAGGTCCTACAGTGACCGCAACTGCATGCTGGGAAAAGCGAGAGTGGGATAGAACGGCAGGGGGCTGCTTTTGGTGGGCTGGTGGTCTGGAGAGGACCGTGAGGAAGAACTGAGAAAGTCAAGCTCGGGAAGCAAGGAAGACCAGGCACAGTGGTTTATGCCTGTCATCAGAGCACTTTGGGAGGTCGAGGCAGAAGGATCACTGGAGGTCAGGAGTTCAACACCAGCCTAGCCAACATAGTGAGACCCCATTTCTTTTTTCTTTTTTCTTTTCTTCTTTTTTTTTTGAGTCGGAGTCTCACTCTGTCGCCCAGACTGGAGTGCAGCGGCCGC